GAAACCTTTCCGAATGGCCGTGGAAAATGTTCAGGTATTGGATCCTCGCCGCTCGCATGGCCATTCGCGGTCCTTGCGTCAGGAGACTGAGGGGTTGGGTTAACAATTGAATTTGCTTCCAGACTTCAGAACCAATTTCTGGGGTTTCCATGTTTTGTCCCTCACCCAAATCTGGGTAAATTGATGTAAATTGGCAAACCCAATATTAAGACATGCGCACATGTGAACTGTGGTTTATTCTTGTTTGCAAATTGCGAGAAATCGGGTTTAGTGTTGGGCATTCCCTTTAGTATTTCGAGAACCGATCACAACCTGCGTTAGAATATATATATATGTAGGGTGTGGCTCATGGCAACCGTGGAACCACTAAGAAAACTTTGGAGCAGATATCAGTATCATGGTTGTTAACATGGTTGAACCAATTTCTCCAAAAAATTGGCTACCAGTTGAATGGATTTCTATGTGTTTCTACGCCGACAAATGCCATGTCTTTCAGGGATTTCCAGGATTTCCTATCCGTGTTGGATTGTACCAAGTTCTGTACAACTGGAGGTGCTGGAAACCAGCTACTGGGATATGTACCATCTGGTTATGACTAACATAGCCATGGAAAATCCCACAAATCAATGGAGGTGTCGTTCGCTGGGAAAATCATCAATGGGCCATCTATACCATGGCGAACTGTAACAGTCATAACCAGAGGGTTATGGTAGGGCCCCAAAAAACACCAGGTTTGGATCCAATGGTTCCCATTTTTGACCAAAAAACGATGGAACTTTGGCTTTTCTTTAAGGAAGAGCGGGAGAAAGATACAAGTTGGGGCCCCGAGATTGCTACCTTGATTATCCTTGATTTATTATAACTTAAGATTTAAGGTTAAGTACAATTTTTCGCACCACTTTGAGGGTGCTGTTTTGTGTACCTCTTTCATGTATCATGTCAGTATAGTATTATTGACCCTACTTGCTATCTTTGTTCTTGTTGTTGGGAATTGTATGGAATTGTGCTGTTTTTTAGCGAAATCATGGAACGCAATGGACTTCTATATAGTGTGCTCAGCATTTGTTTCCGCTTTGGACGGTAGATATGGCGCGTTGGTCGTTCTCTAATCTAATAGATTATTTTCACATACCCCAAAGGGGCATTACCCCTATAAATCAACCATTATTGGTGAATGATAACCGCTGAAAAATCCATACTTAACCCATTCTTCTAGGGTATGTCCAACATATTCTGCTATAATCTACCTCCCCGAAACTTGGGTCTGAAAAGAAACTGGACATGGCAAGTTCAGTAATTACTTGGAAATGTGCTCGATGCTCTACAGTAAACTAAGGGGACCAAAACATTGCTAAATCATTTTCTTGGGAAAACATGGGTCTTCCACATCAACTGTATTTTTGGTTGCTGGAGGGTAAAGTCACATTCCGTAGGAGGCCTAAAAAAAGGATATGGAAGGAAGAATGTCCCACGGTTTATTGCCATTTTGGGATTCCCAGTCAGATTTTGGGACTCAATTTCCGCGTGTTTCCACCTGCCAAACGCTTGGCGGAACAGCTGCTGAAAGGCAGCGGATGGCGGCGGATCGGCCAGACAACAAGTTCTGCTCTGAAGATGGGAATTCCAATGTCCCATAGTTATTAAATGTTATTAATATATATATATATGCTGTATTGTATTATATTGTATCATATTATATCATATCATATCATATTATATTATATTATAGTCATTATCATTGTTCCCATGATTCTCATTCATGATGACAATAGTTATATCTACCATTTTTGCATGTGATTATCCCCATCATCATCATCATCATCATCACCATCATCATCATCAATACTATCACTATTGTTCATTATATGTATATCATTGCCATCCTTTTTTGTCCCTGTCATTGTATCTACCATTTCGACCATTTGATGGTACAATTTCTGTATATAACTATGAAATAGTTCACAGTAGATTTTATGTATTGTTTCATTACTATTTCTACCATTCCTTCTACCATGTCTAAAACTTATCAACTATTAATCACTAATTACCACTTATTACCACAGTTGAATTTTATAGTATAGTAATATACTATGTCTACCATTTCTTCCCCTAAATGTGGGCTGAGTGCCGGACCTCGTCCTTTTCGGAAAAACGGCTGCCAGGTGTGGCTCTTCGCCCCTCCGTTGCTCGACGATGGGGCTTCCTAAAATGGGGTACCCCAATAGCTGGATGGTTTATTTCGCAGAAAATAACAAATGGATGATTTGGGGATAGCCCCATGACTTAGGACACCTCCAGTGGATAACTACAAAGTGGGGGGGGGGGCCGAAGGATAGCTATGTTGGTGAAAATAACTTCAAGAACTATGGTTTATGATACTCATAACTATGGTTAATTGGGTTTTATTTTCCAATTTATAGCTCTGGGGGCCCACATTGTATATGGTCACAGAATTAGGAAACAATGGTAGATAACCATATTGTTAATAACTCATGGGTTAGGACAACTATATATGGTCATACTATCAGGATACTATCTGACCAGTATGGTTGTATACTTTCATCAATTAGAACACAACCCCTGTAACTAGGTTATCCACCTTTAAGCTAGGATTTAGCCCCATAACTATAATATGACAATCCCTATAACTTATATCCATATTATTATATATCCCCTCATATCCGACTCATATCCTTCTCACTAAGGTATACTATGGTTATATACATATACATACGCGTATCCACCTGTATATCACTGCAACTGCGGCCCCACGTAGGAGAAAAAACATAGGCACTGGTTTTTTTGATTCAATGCATAAAGCTAACTTGGTGTTTCTTTTGGCCGCAAATAAGGAATGACAATTAATGACAAGCGGGAAAAACGGAGCGATGCACACTGGTGCCCCAGTGAGCTAAATCGCAAACAGTTGGTGACCATACTCCAATAACTGTTGGGTTTATGGCATGGTAACTGTTGGGTTTATGGTTAATATATCTATGGGTGATATATCTATAACTATAGCTTATAACTGTTTATGTTTGATATATATATATAGTTATATATAGTTCGTGGGATTTATAAGCTAACTTGCGGGATTAAACCAACAGCACATGGATTATTTCGGGTTTATATATCTGTGTTCAAACAGGTGTTTTGTTAACCATAAACTCAACATATACAAGAATAAACAGGTATCTATATATATATAACTCTGGTTTATAAACTCATTTTTTTTAAGAGGGGCGCCAGCTTGTGTCGGCTGATCGGACAGCCAGATGTCTGAAACCACTAGTGCAACGACAGTATCTGGATCAATCCACGACATATATTGTGCATATGATATCTTACAATTCATACAAACATGCATGCATATCTATATATATATAATATTATATATACAATAGAGAGAGAGAGAGAGAACTGTGAAATGTATTTTCATATGTATTCGTCTGTGTGAGGTTTTGATACAACCAATATTTCAGCCAGTTGGAATTCCTCTCTCCCTCACAGCTGTTTCAATTCAGCACCGAGGATAAGTTGCAGATCATCAACTCTACAGGCAAGGGAACTGCGCCACTCATAGACACCAGATTGATTTCAGAGCTGATTATTTTACCGTTTTGAATGGTGATATTATGATATATTACTGTACCATGTTTGCTAGAAATGGAATATTCGCAGAAACAGCTAGATTTGCAAAAAGAAACATTTATTGTTTTGCTAGCAAACGTCATTTTTTGTGGACTATGAAAGATTGAACGTGCGCAATAGTAACAACCCAAGATGAATATTCTCCAGATTGACCAAAACACTATGCAAACAAAAACAGGGGGAAAGCCACGGATCATTTCACCCATATTTCACTTTTCATACTTGTATCTAATCAGAATACTTCAGGTATGACCAATACTTTGGGCATAATCAGTATTTGGGGATGCGTGTGGGGATACAACCAAAGAATGAGAATAAGCAAATAGCTGGTACTGGTAGACTGGTAGGTGTTTGCTTCCTATGGACAGCCATTGGGTCAAATAACCATCGTTGGAATCCAAATATCTTCTGGGTTTGCCACTATGAAAATGCGTTGTGCCAGGTGATGGTGAAAAAAAATGTGGCCGCAGCCCCTAGCCAAAAGATACAAACTAATAGTAACTATATTACGTTCCTTGCCAGGCATGATTTTTTGGATTCAATCATAGATGGTGAATTATAAATATTTATAAATCATGTTGTTGATATGTGCAAAAGTTGGATTGCCCCATAAAAAGGGGGATAGACATCGCAGGATTTAAACCCCAAAGGATTCCCACTGTGGGATGGATGGCCGTAAAGCAGGAATCACCGGCCTCAACCAGAGAGAAAGCCGCTGAGCCTCCACTTGATCTAGTTCTGGAAAAGATACGTTAAAATTCTAGCCGCTTGAGAAATGAAGGATTTGCCCTGGCAGTTCTTCAGAAATCAGTCATCTTACCTGGGAGATTTCTAGAAAATAGTTCTGTAATGTATGTATATATATATGTGTGTATATATGTATGTATACCAATGATATTGGAAATCTATGCCACTATAAACATACTCATTATATCATTGTATCATTATATCATTATACTCATTTTACTCATTATCTCATTATATCATTATATCACTATATCATTTTATCATTTTATCATTATATCATTTTATCATTATATCATTATATCATTATATCATACAAGTATTTGTAGTATCATGCCCACTATAGATAATATGTTTGTAGTGCTTTCATCTACATTCCGCGCGAATTATGGTCCCAGGCAGCCAATGGTGCGAAAAAACACAAGAGTCTGCAACAAAAAAACAACAAGAACTGCCATGCTTGGAGCACTGAAAAACCTCAAGTCTGCAAACAAAAAAGAAAAAGAAAACATCTAAGAAAAATCGATAAAAGAAAAGTTTCACCAAAACTTACCCCGCATTCTTCAGTTCCAGCTGTTTTGATCGTATTGCGGGTTGTGTGGCCTTGCGGTCTCGGCCGTGGGATTCAAGCGCCGTGTCACCGGGTCGCGCCATGGAGAAGAATGGCGCCGGGCCCGATGCCCGTCTCATTGATTCGACGATGCTGGGAGAGGAATGGCAGGACGTTACTCGGATGATTTTGGGCGCCGCATGGTGCTCCCTAAGATCTGTTATTTTTGGACCGTTCTGGAGAATTCTTTCCAAAGATGTTGTACAATGATATTATATTAAGATACTCATTAAGATATATTAAACCTATGTGTCCTCATATATATATATACACACACATTGTGCTCCTGTACACATTTGCTACACACGTGTTCATTCCATCCACCCATCCTTCCCGCTGAAAATCTACCATCCCCCGAAAAGAAACAAATACGAGTCTATGTTTGTCTGAAAACGGGGTTTTAGAGGCCATAAAATGGCAATTTAATAGGGAAAATGATGCTGTGCCAATGGATTTAGAGGTACTGTCATATTTTCAGGCAAAGCCATATCAAGAAACAAAGCCATCCACTCATCAAATTGCATTGTTTCACCCGTTTTTTCACCGGTTGATTTGCGACAAATCCTTTCCCATCAATCATCCCAGCCCAACTGTTTCCAGTTGGATGATTTACCAATTGAACACGAGAAGTGCAGGTTGACTCGCACTGTCACATTTGATCTTCCTGAAATATATTCCGTCACCTTCACTATGGAGATTGGAGTTTTTTGCCACGGTTCACTGAGAGCGAGTGTCTTCCACAGCTATGTTATGCCGAGAGCTGCATCAACATCCATATTTAGTCATGAAGATGAAATAAGCTATGATAAGATGAGGTTTGAAGCAACATCCATGGGTCCATCATCCATCATCCATCCACATCATCCACTCATCCGTCGCCTTTTTCTAAGATCTGCCCATGAACAAATATAGATATATCACGATATATCATATATATATATATGTATGTATATATATATATACACCATAGACCATACTGTAGTCAACCTACTTATTTATGTTCACCAGCTTAGCGATTTCGTAAACTGCGGCCCCGCCTTGTGACAATCCCCATGTAACCATGCCCATTTTTCTGGTGAAACCAATAAACCAGCCTTTTCCCTCACACTTTGGTTTGGTTTCACCTCATGAACTACTTCTGTACATTTCTATACTGTATATCTACCATCAACCCAACATTTAACTTACTTCGAAGCCAACTTGGCTAACTCTGGGGCAACATATATACATAATGATATATCTACTATTATCTACTATAAACATACATAAACCATAGTTTCTTATCAACATGTAAATCCACATCATTCACCATATATAATTAATAATTCATGAACCATAGTTTTTATCCACACGAACATCCACATCATCCACTGAGATTTGCCCATTATATTACTATATAAATATAGATACTATATACCATATATAGCTATAGATATATCATCCAAAAACATCCATTTTGCACATCCATTTTGCACATCCATTTTGCACATCCATTTTGCACATCCATGAACCATCAATTAACCACCAATTATATAATCATCTATCATTCATTTCAAGCATATCCATATTAAACATCCATTAGACATCAAAAGCTATAAAGATATATCATCCAAAAATATCCATCATCTAACATCCATTTCAACCTCCATTTTGCACATTCGTATTTTGCACATAGATACTATATAGATCCTATATACCATATAGATCTAGATATAGATATAGCTACAGATCCCAAAAAACCATCCAAGTTATACTTGTCCTCCGAGATCTGCCCATGATATAACTATATAGATACATAACTAGATACTATAGATACTATATACTATAGATATATCATATACCATAGATATACTATATACCAAAATATATCCAAATACCATATATATGATATACCTATAGGTATATAGATCCAAAATATCATCAATTAACCATCAATTAATCATCTATCATCCATTTATATATACTATATAGATACATGATTTACCATATAGCTAAATCATAGATATAGCTATAGATATTCAACATCCTATATACCATATATAGCTACATAGATACTATATACACTATAGATAGATACTATAGATAGATAGGTACCATATATAGATACATGATTTACCATATATAGATCCAAAATACCATATTTCAATAGATACAAAAAAACATCCTATATACCATAGCTATAGATCATCCATTTCAACCATCAATTTTTCCCATGGAAAGCAGATCCAAAATTCCCAAATACCATGATATAACTTTATAGATACTATATACCATGTAGATATACTATAGATATATCATATACCATAGATATACCGAGATCTGCTTCGACATCGGCAAGACCAGCATTTTGAAAAACGTCACCGGCATCGCCTCCCCCGGACGCCTGACGGGCGTCATGGGCCCCAGCGGCTCGGGGAAGACCACGCGCCTCGGCATGGCTCGGATGCGAAAACCATGGGAAAACCGGGAAAACCCATGGAAAACCTATGGAAAACCTATGGAAATCCAAAAAAAGTGGCTTGAAGAGTGGAAAAAACAATGGATATTAATCGCATCGAAGTATATCGAAATAAAAATCATGGGAAATTGAGATACCAAAAATCGAGCTACAGTACCATGATCCTTATATATTGTAGGTAACTCCAATCTAGGTACCTGAAACGGCCATTGACTTAAGGATTTTTGGATAGTTTTGGATGTGTTTTGTCTACAAGTGTTATGTTTATTTGTTTCTTGTTTTCTTTTGAACTAAGTTGGAATTCGAGTCTTTCTTGATATGTTTTCTTAGAGGAAGGAACATGGAATCATTATGATAATCACACAGTTTTGGAATGGTTCAGCTGGTTTTAATAAAGAGTTTGGACAAGTTCACAGGGTTTTCGTTGTAATCCTCCATATTCCCTGTATTGCCCTGTTCGATGGAGCCAATGAGCCTTATGGGTCTCCCACATGACAGAGAACCATTGTCATTTTTGGGGGGGGGGCCACTTGGAGGCTTGCTAGGTAGCCCCAAATCATCAATATTCATCCATATTCATCAATGTTTTTTTTTCGGATTTTCCATGAAAAAAAAACAACCATTTCTATTGGGGGTACCCCCATGACTTAGGAACGCCTCCACTTTCCAAGTCCTCATGGAAGCATCACTTCCGTGGCGGACTCCCATGACCCTCCGGGAATCAAACATGGCATTGGAAACTCCCATGTGTAGATCATTGGTTCATTAAAAGCTCCACTTATAGTGGATTTCCAGTTGCCATGTTTGATTACCGGAGGGTATATGGTACAGTAGCTCCATGTCAGGATCCTGAATTCCCATTCGCTATTGACGAAAACATCATTTATATGGGTTCAAACAATATTGCTATGTTTGACATGATGACCCTCTGGGGTATTTCTTGGTGTTTCCGGGGGACTTTCCATCGCTCCGAGGTTGCTGAATGTTCTTTCAGGAAGACAGCGAACAAGCGGCTACAGCAGGACATGGTGGCACGGTGGCCTTCTGGGCCTTCTATGGGGTGCTGTACATCAGGCAGTGTTTTTCTACCCTCAAACATAGAGGATTTAACTAGGACAAATGGTGATATAATGATATAGTGGGTATATATATATATGCTGGGAAATAATCACCTTGTTGATACCCTGCGGTGATGAAACGCGCCTAGTTAAAAAAATCCTGAACGAAATGGAGGTTTATAGCTGGGAACAACGAACTATAGCTGGGTGGTCCAGCAAGCCATGTGACTGATCACACAAACACCCACCCAATACTCCTGATTAGATGACTCATAAGGGTATTCCCCCAGTTTGTGGTATGTCACTTCTCTAATTCATACATCTCAGCATGTATCTTGCTGCACAGCATAGATTTCCGACTATTACCCCCCTAGGCAGATACTGGAGATGGAATACTAGACAGGCGCAACATTTTTCCCACGACATGGTTGGATATCATGATATCATGTGAAAACTCATGGTGGTTAACTAGCTATACTTGACGAGTTCTTAGTAAACACTACCTATGTTCCCTTGTCAACACTTGAAATATACTTGTCGACATGTATCCACATCCACATTGATGGTCATTCCAGCCATTTCTGCAGGGGTGGATTATATCCAACTCGACCCTCAACGTTGACCAACAGGTCAGGTTTTGTGACATAGTTGTGTAGTGTTCCCAGGTTGAACATGACAGGAACATGTGGACAAAACAATCAGATATGGAGATCTACAGAATAAGCAGCAAAAATAAGAGAGATCACCTGTGAGAATGGCCTATCATTAACCCAGTGTACTCCTATCATTAGCCATCACTTGCTGGTAATTCCCTCATTTTATCCAATCTTATCCCCATGAAATGATGGCCTATTTACCATTCAGCACCATTTTTTCATAATTAAGTCACCTAAGTCCCGAATTATAAATATATAAGTGTGTATATATATATATATTAAATATCAAATATATATATATATATATATCAAATATATATATCAAATATATATATATGATATAATATAGAGAGAGAGAGATGTGTGTAATATATATATATATATATTTAATATGTATGTTATACATTTATGTATATATCATATACCCTACGTAGGATCTCCTTCCTTGTTCAGTCGGAGCTTCCGACCAGTGGAGTTCTCCGTCGTTCTCCAGGACAGGCTCCAACAAGCAAGAGGTGCACTTCAGCGGAGAAGTTTTCGCCCGCGGCCGCCCGGTCTCCACGTCCTTCTTCCGTGGCAAGACAGCCTTCGTGTTCCAGGCCCGGCGACAGGTACAGGTGGGACAGGTGGGATGGGGGTAGCGTTTTAGCCGTAAAGGACCTGGGAAACATTGGAAAAATTGGTGATGTACCCATTTAATCCCATTTCATCCCATTTATGACTTGGGACTACCATTTGTTGGCGGGTCTTTGGAGGGTCCAAGATGGTAGTATTTTTTACTTTGTGGGGATCATGAACAAACTAATCACCGGTCACCACTTTGTAACGGCAACGCGTTTTGGATGTCGACAGGACAACGCTCTGATGGACAGCGACACGGCACGTGAGGCCTTGCAATTTTCAGCCCCTCGGAGTGATTGCCCGATGGGGTCACTGGCGTGGTTCTATAAAGAAGTTCCCGATGACCCAAATAACAGGGGTTGGTAACTGTCCCATTTTGGGTATATTGGACATCACCTTATAGTAGCCATGAAAAAGACCATATACCTAATGGTTGGGTGATGTTCAATGGGGACATTTAATGACCCATGAATAATTTAACCCAAAAAAAATGTGAAACGTATTAAGATTATGGTGTCAAACAACTTGTCTAAGGGTACTTGGAGGGTCTAGGTTGGGACAATTCTCCTAAACCCACTGGGCAGTCATGAAATCTCATACATAATTATGTTGTTTCGACAATATGATTAGGGACTGTGATTTATGAAGCAAGTCACTAGATAGAATTGGGTCATATTGGGTCAATGGATTGGCAGGAAAAGGAAAGTATTGGTGTTCCACCATCAAATTTGGGGGGATTCAACGGTAAAGTTTCAATCGATCCATTGGCTTCGATATTGTTAAAAAAGTGTTTAGACATGTTCGCTGCAACCCCAAACGCTTTGCCCGCGGCCAATCCCGCATATCCTTTGACATGCTCAAATCCCTGCGCAGGGTTTAAGTTTTTTACTTTCCAAAACAACAAACACGGTAAGCCCTAAAACCTAAAAACCCTAAACCCTAAATTAAAACCCTAAATCATGAAAACTTAAAGTCAAAATCACTGCGTATAGCCAGTGTTTTCATTGATCCTCTGGTGATAAGTATATCATATTGTTTGGATGTGTTGTTTGATTGTGGGCGAACCAGGGCGTTGCAGGGGACATGTTTAGCTATCAAGAATAATCCTGGAAAACACTATGGACCGAACGAATGTTCCCCATGTTTTTTCAATCATCTTCCAAGGTTTAATTCATCCATGATGCCTAACCCATCTCCAAAAAAATATCCTGCGTCGCCTTGGTGGCTTCACTGAGGCCTACCTCCGCCTCTCGCGCAACGTCTCCAAGTCAAAACGAGATCAACTTGTGGAGCGATTGCTGGAGGATTTGCACCTTGAGGAGCATTTTGGGCCGGGAGCGTTTTTGGGGGGGATGTGGATGTGGATGATGATGATGATGATGATGATGATGATGATGATGATGATGATGATGATGATGATGATGATGATGACGGTGATGGTGATGGTGATGGTGATGGTGATGGTGATGGTGGTGGCGGTGGTGATGATGATGGTGGTGATGATGATGATGATGATGTTGTTGTTGGTTGTGGTTGTGGTTGTGGTTGTGGTTGTTGTTGTTGTTGTTGTTGCTGTTGTCGTTGTCGTTGTGTTGTTGTTGTTGTCGTTGTCGTTGTCGTTGTCGTTGTGTTGTTGTTGTTGTTGTTGTTGTTGCTGTTGTTCTTTTTGTTGTTGTTGTTGTTGTTTTGTTGTTGTTGTTGTTGTTTTTTGTTTTTTGTTTTTGTTTTTTGTTGTTGTTTTGTTGTTTTGTTGTTTTGTTGTTTTGTTTGTTTGTTGTTTTGTTGTTGCTGTTGCTGTTATTGTTGTTGTTGTTGTTGCTGTTGCTGTTGTTGTTGTTGTTATGGTTGTTGCTGTCGTTGTTGTTGTTGCTGTTGTTGTTGCTGTTGTTGTTGTAGTTGCTGTTGCTGTTGCTGCTGTTGTTGCTGTTGCTGTTGTTGTTGCTGTTGCTGTTGGGGTTGTTCTTGTGGTTGTTGTTGCTATTGCTGTTGTTGCTGTTGTTGCTGTTGTTGCTGTTGCTGTTGTTGTTGCTGCTGCTGTTGTTGTTGTTGTTGCTTTTGTTGTTGCTGTTGTTGCTGTTGTTGTTGTTGCTGCTGCTGTTGTTGTTGCTTTTGTTGTTGCTGCTGTTGTTGTTGCTGCTGTTGGTGTTGCTGTTGGTGTTGCTGCTGCTGCTGCTGCTGTTATTGTTGTTCACGTTTGGTGTACCTGAATTTGATGGAGACGTGTAAAATTAGCAACAAAATTGTACATGTGTGGCCAATTTAAAGAGGGAAATTCGTTAAGGTACCCAAAGCATTAGAGTCACTAGAGCAAAACATGACTGAATAAATTGATCACCGGTTGATAGGAAACAAAATGGATGGTTGAAGGTGAATGCCAGGTACCAATGAGTTCCAATGAGCAAGGTGTCATCGAGGTGACATTAGTCGAAATCGTCCTTCCGGAAACTTCATCGAAAGTGAAGCCGCTTTGCATCGAGTCCATGCAGTTTTGAATTATTGCTATTTTTTACCAATTATAAACGGCTATATCTGGTTTGTAAATGGGATTATATATTCCACAAATGGGGTATTAGTACACATAACTATAACTGGTATTTTGGGCCATAACTGTGGAGGCTGATCGTTGCAAAACTGGCAATGTCAATCCTGTTGCTGGCATTATCATGCACTATCCAAATTTTCATTTAAATGAGATGATATCCCACTTTGGGATCTTTTTGGTTGGTAAGATGTTGCCAAATGTGGGCACCCAAATCCCGTTGATTGGTGTATAGCTGTAACTTGAGAAATTCCTGGATGACCATACCTAGCTCCAAGTTTGTTTATAATTCCCTCTAACTAGTTCCATCATTAAATGTAATCGTTAGCCTACTCATAAACCAACAGAAGCCTATCAAGCAATTATGACCACCAAGTGTTTCTGGGTTAAATATCTCGAATTACTGTTTCGTTTGCTTAAATCACAACCCATGATCATCCTGGCAGGATGCAGCCGAAGTGATTGTCGGCGGACCTTTGCGAAAAGGTCTGAGCGGCGGTCAACAGATGCTCAGCGCCGTCTGTGATGTGCGGGACCAGGAAGTGTTAGTAGTTTAGGACCCAGATGTGGGGGGTTCCATAAATGGAAGTACCCAAAATGGATGGTTTATAATGGATGGTTTAGAATAGATGATTTAGGGGTACACCCTATTTCAGGAAACCTCCATGCAACTGGTGATATTCCATTGATCTAAGTGGGGTTTTCCATAGTGTTTTCACTGGGATGCACACCTTCCGCGTACTGCCAGTGATGCTGGTAGCACCAAGCCATGAAAGATACACCCCTGTTGATTAGGAAATCAGCGGGTTATACTAAAGGGTTTCTTGGATCGTTGCAGTCAGATCAGTCAGGTTAAGCCATCCAAAATCTGGGGATGACAGAGAATTGGATGTTTCAAAACTGTGGCGGCAGAACCAGAAAAGATGGCATCAACATAAAACAACAAACACGGTGGCTTCATCGGCGCTCGCTTCCGTGGCCAAAAGTCAGGAAACGTGTGGCGGTTGGAGTGGAGCATCTCGGCGCTAAAAAAGAACCTGAGATTTGGAGAAAGATATTCATTTGAAGTGGGGTTGATGTATACATATATATATATATATGCATATATTTATTTGCTTATATACATATATATATATATGTGTGTGTTTTTAATAGGGTAAATATGTGCATCATTGGAATCCCAAATATGCGCGTGCACCAGGAAATGTCAACGTGTATGTATATATATATATATACATAATAAGGAACATCGTCATTTAACCCAACAACGATGGATTACATGGATTTGTTCACCAGCAAAAGCAACATGGGGATTTGACCAACTTAAACCAATGGTGAGCCAAGAGGATTCCATCGAGCTTTCCTCTATAAAGCTTATAACCTGTGGGGCTTCCAGGATGTATAGGGCGTCGAGGCTCACAAAGATCCCCAAGGCCCCCAGGGCTGGATTTCAAGGGGTTTTCCAGCTTCGAAACGCGCTCTCCCATTGAATCCACACGGAGGTACAGACTTTGGGGACAAGACTCCATGACCCCATCCTGGTTTTTTACATCGCATTTCTGGCGAAATCTGAACGTTGAAGCTGCAAATCACTGATGTTTGCTGGTAGAATCCGAAAAAAAAAACGGGTGCTTTCATCAGGACAATATACTTCAATCTCCATTTCCATCCATTTCCTGCTGCTGAAATCTGTGCATCTTGCTAGTTTGATTCACTATCCAATATCCTTCACTGGAAACCAATTCCAATGGTATTTATAATGAATAATTAGCACTATTGTATCACATATACCAACATTTACCCAATTCTAATATCCAATATCTACCAAATATTACCAACATTTACCCACATTTACCCATCCAATATCTAATGGCCTGTGAATCACAGCGTCACCGAGGTTGATCTCAAATCCGCAGATGATCTTCTTGGAAGCTGGGCACAGACAGCGATCGCGGGGGAAAAGTGTCACTTTCCAAATACATAAGGAAATGACATATACAGGCATATTGGATAGATGTAGTTATAGTATAGATATGGTATAAATCCAATATAAATCCAATAACTATATAGTATTGGATATACATATATATATATATGATATCTCACTTATATATTGGATAGATATAGTTATATGCAAATATATATATAAGTGAGAATATCACAGGTATATTGGATATATATATATATATACATGCACATATCTATAACTCAGGCTTCCACAGATGATTAAGAGTGTGTGTGTGTATATATATATATCACAAGTAATGCACGCTAGATTCGCCACATGAATTGGATGTATACATGGGTATTTACACTTATATATATATATAGTAACCCATGGTCCGTATTACATATTTATTTGTATATAATTATTTAAATATGTGTATATACAAAAAATGGAGATGATCTTTTTTGACCCAGTCATACATTGAAGTATCCCCAATTGACAAATGGATTATATCCACGATTTCTAGGATGCTGGGAGTAGAGATCATCCCAATACAGCTTGGTGCACATACCTGTTATAACTCCAAACACTAGGGTTTATGATACATATATCAGATATGTGACAAAATGATCGCCATTTAATATATAAATGACATTATGAGATATATATATATATATACATATATATATACATGTATATTCCATATCATTACATGAATAACCCATTACTATGGCCTATGTTTGGTATGTTACCAAACGTTGCGTGCCTCTCAGGATGAGCCCATCAGCGGCTTGGACTCCTACAATGCGTTCACCCTAATGTGCCTCGCCGCCTGGGAGTCCAAAAAGGGGCTGTTGAATATGAGGGGATGGGATAAGATGTATATATATATACTATATATATAGTATATATATATATTATATACACTATATATATAAGATGGACTTAGATAGTTCAAGACTTCATTGAGGTAGTATTTAATAGTCTAGTTCTATACTATCATAAAATCACAAAAAAGTTTATGGAAAAGTGAACAGGAGCTAATCTTTTGCTGTACATGAGGATTCGTTGGTGGTCTCAGCTTTCAACCATATCTGGGACAGATGATCTCCAATGACCACCAGAGAAGCAGCTTCAGTTTTCCACTGAGGTAAGTTTGGAGATGTTGCCAAAAAAAAATGCTACGATCTCAACCATCTTTAACCCCAGCACCATTTCTTGGTTCACACAGCTGGTTGCTGGACGTAGCTTAAAAAAAACGCACGGCTTCACTTCGCTCAGCCGCAGCTGGTTGCTGCGCCCTCAGGCAGTCTCTGAATAAGCTGTCGCGTACGGGCGTGCCAGTGGTCTTGACCATTCACCAGCCAAGCTCTGAGTGCCTGGGTGCACCGCTGGAGCCGCTGGAGGCTTTGGGTTTTAAAATGCTGGGCCAACCCGTAAAAATTGGTGTGTTTAATGCAAATAGAACGATGAACCATTGGATTTTTTTGGGGTTATCACATTGTAAAACTCACCTATATAAAAAGTGAAGTATCAGAAAAACAAGTGGGACCTTCAAATCATCAGCCTCAATGAAATTGGCCTAATTGAACGGCTACTGATTCATGATCAACGAATTGTTATAGGGCTCATGATGATAATGATGAATCATTCAATCATCAGCCCTTCATATTCTGATCAACCCTTCAAGTAGTTAATTTTTGAGGTTTTGCACAATTATCAGTGAATTTTCCACATTAGCTAAGGCTTGTTGGCAGGAGTTGTTAGTTTTGCAGCCTCTGAAAACCTGGGGCCACAGCATTTTCTTAAGTGAATTCAATTGTGATGTCGCGGCTGGGGTTGAAAATAGGACACCTGTTGAAATACCAGGATTTATCCACGGGTTTATCGTAACTTTCGACATTCAACTCACCATTCCGGTGGTAAACTCCCAATTTTTGACGCACCCAGTTCTCATAGATTGGTTGCATGATTCCCCATGACATTCCAGATCATATCCCTATTGCTTAGCTGCTTGAATTTCCATCAATTGTGACGTCATGCGATGTCCCTTTTGGGACCAGGATGTAATGTCGAAGGAGGCCACCAACCTGATGAAAAATAACAACCGATATCGAGCTGTTAGCGTAAGTTGTGGAAAGCCTACAGTCCTTGCGTAAGATTTCTGGGTCAGACTGGGCAGCCTTTTCAGACTCGATTGAATGTGTTGAGGAGTTTGATATGGACTGAAAAGTCGCTTGAGCCTTATCAAGATGATCAGATGTTTGAAGGTATCATGACTTCGCTGGGTTTTTTTCATGGCAGGGTTCCAGCTTTATGACTTTGGGATAAGCTTCGTTCCAGCCGTAAAGAACCAGCTACTGAGGTCCATCCCAGCTACAACTGGATCAAGTCCAATGATTACCATCCGGTAATCATGTTGTGCTGGAACATTTATGATTTTCCCAGCTACAAACCTCCAGTTTGGGGATTTCCGAGCTAACCACGTTTGAGTACAGGGAGGGCTCTAAGTATATCCCGCGGGAGAAGCGTCCGGCATTTTCCCTGTAAATTTCCGGATCAAATGGCTCTTGTGAAATATCCCTATGCATTTCGATTGCGCAGGCTCGCACGCAGGTGTCGCGGGATCGGTGTACGGCAAAAGATACCTTGAACAGAGATCTGTCTTTGGGATCCCTTACAAAGAGCTTCTGTGGAGATCTCCTATATAGGCCTCTTGTACACATAGCCTTCTACAGGGATCTTGGACAGCAGCTTCTGCAGAGAACCTCTTCTACCGAGATCTTGACAAAGGGAGCTTGCAGAATCTGACCTGGTATCTTTTTTTTTCCCCAAACAGTGTGGCCACACTGAGGGGTTCTTACGGTAAGAGTTAAGGCCCGGTGTTCAATCGAGGTGGTATCGGAAGCGTTTGGCATTTTCCCTGCAAATTTCCGCACAAAATGCCTCCTGTGACATGTCCATGTTAATTTCGACTGCGCAAGCTCGCAAAAAATGCTGGCCGCGGGATTAGCGTCCGGCATTTCCCCTGCAAATTTCCGCACAAAATGCCTCTTGTGACATGTCCATATGCATTTCGACTGCGCAGGCTCGCACAAAATGCTGGCCGCGGGATTAGCGTCCGGCATTTTCCCTGTAAATTTCCGCATAAAATGCCTCTTGTGACATGCCCATGTGCATTTCGATTGCGCAGGCTCGCACAAGGTGTGCTTCGGTCTTGGGATCGGTCTTCCTCCTCAACATCGTCATCTTCCTCCTCCTCAACATTCACATCATCATCTTCTTCTCATCATCATCAGCATCAGCATCAGCATCAGCATCAGCATCGTCATCATCACCATCATCGTCATCATCGTCATCATCATCGTCATCATCATCATCACCCGAACCATCACCATCATCATCATCATCATCATCATCCTCATCATCATCAACATCACCATCGTCATCAACAGTAACATCATCATCAACATGATAATACATTCTCCTTTTACTCCCCCCACACTGTTTGGGGTCTCTTGCCGGGATAATATAGTTTTCCTCATTGGAATCGCATGAAATAGCCATAAATGGAGGGAAAATCACCAATTTTGACCCATCCCGGGTCGTCGTGCCGGCGTTATATCTCTCGGTTTTTAAGGATCTACGACCTCATTGACGATGTCATTTTTTTGCGCCTTGGAGCGAGTGTGGAAACCAGGATGCCTGAGGGGACACATAGAAGATAGAAAAGAATGTGAAAACAATGATTTCCTTGCAATTTCGCCGACCCAGTGGTTAAGAAGAAACGTTTCGCAGCTGGGTATCTATATTCCCTGTTGAATTGGGGCCAAGGAGCTCCGAAATGTTTTCCAAACCCATGATAGCGTGTGACTCTCTGTTGAATCAATCTAATGGGTTGGATCATCCAATGGTAATTACGCTGCGTCACCGTTTCAGTTTGTTGCTGAGCCATCCTGGACTGGGCTGCCATCCGCAACTAGATGGAACTCGCCCCTAGACCCTGGTTCATCACGGTTGTTACAGCCACCACAGGTGCCGGCTAGCCCCCGCGAAAAAAACTCAATGGCTGCACCCTGGAAACAATCATTCATCATTATGGTTCGCACCCAATGACCGCCAAGGATTGTTTTTCAATCCATGGTTCGCATGGATCAAGATAAGTGTCCATGTGGTATGAGCGTTGTGATTTGGAAGTGTTGCAATGCCCCATTAAATGGCAATGCTAGCATTTTAAATGAGCACTGCCCAAAATGCCAAGTGGTATGGTAGATTTTAGGGTTTGTCAACCTACTTAATCCACCTGCTGATATTCATTAGGGGATGAAGAACTCACCCATGAAACGGGAACCCCTATACACTCCGATTCTTTAGAAACAAAACATGGATGATTGTCCCATGTGAATTCGTAGTTAGTTCGGCGATTTTTCAGCCAGCCATGTTTGATGACGGCGGAGTTTTTTCCCTATATATCCTCGTGTATATTCTAGCCCCATTCTGGTTGGTAGAACCCCACTATGTTCCTATTGTCAGCCATTAACCATAGATATATCTACCGTAAATTCTATTAGGTGGCCCCCCCACTTATAAGTCGGTTTATAAACCCTATTAACTACAGTTACAATTGCCACAAACCATAGATATTGGAACTATAAACTAACTTAGCGAACTAATTCCCATTAAATCTCATTAAAACACATTAAATCCCATTAATTCCCATTAATCCCTTCAAAACCTGCCATGTCTTTCTGGTATCGCCATGGCAGGTGTAAAGGCGAAGTCGTGTTCCAGGGCCCGCGGTGGGGACTTTTCAGCCACTTTGATCAGCTGGGGTTCCGCTGTCCGACGAACCACAATCCTGCGGATTTTGTCATGTTCCTCATCCACAAGGACGGAACGGAAATATCTGCAGCTTGTGGATGTAGATAGAATCAGATCTATTCAAGAAGCATGAATAAACATACACATTTTGACTTGAAATGATTACCCCAAAATGGTTCTCCAGCGGGGAAATCTTGAAGATGGCAATGGGTGATCATAGAACTGGAGGAAGATCTTGTTGGACATTTCATTGAAAATAACCCAATATTTTCCTTTTTCAGCGTGTTGGGTTTTAACACGCCGATGCCACCCATAACTATCTATAATTACGAGCACTTGTGCTATGCACGTCTTTCGGGATTGTGGGAAGCTTCATGGCTCTTTGCGAAGCCGTTGATGACCTGCGATAAATCTGTCCCCCAAAACGCTCGTCACTTTTTTGCATAAACCATTAAACACCCTAGAACGCCCCTAAATTGACCCTAAGTGAACCCTAAAGCAGCCCTAAACCCTAAAATTTTCCCTGTGATAATGTTTTTGTAGTGGAATACCTGTGAGGTGTAGCGTGCTGTGGGTAGAATTAGGAACATTCACCGTTGCCTTTTTATTGATCAATCTTGAATCAGATGGGTCCCAAACTCCCAATTCTTGAAATTGAATCACATTGAATATTAAATAATGTTGCATATATAAATACAATGTGTTATCCCTTGTTTCTAGGTTAAATCGTTAAAGCCCCGATGTTTTGTTGGTGACTCCCCCAATCATGTCAAATCATGTTGTTTACACATGTCTTGTGCCAAAGTTGCATGGTTAACCCTCCATGCTACCAGATTCTCTTTTTAGATTCCACCAGATTCTACCAAACTCTGCCAGATTATATACCCTCTAGTAATCAAACATGGTTTGCTGGAATACTCACCATTTAGATCGATGATATTCCAGCCAACAAAAAACTCCATGTAGTGGATTTTCGCCATGTCACCAGAGGCTAAATCTAAGATGTAATCCATTACTAAAGTTAGTTCATTGCCATAACCCCCACGCGTATCCCAATCGTTGAGTTCTATGGCCCCTTGGTGAACCAAAAACGCCACAGGAGGGAGATGAGGTGCTGGACCAGTTGACCGGTCGTGAACCCCAGCCGGATACCGTTGGTGGATAGCGGCGATTGACCTTCGCTTTGCATAGAAATGGTGAAAAAAAAGCACCCAGAAACATTACCAGAATTGAATAGGACATTGGTGTGCCATTTTTGAGGAGGATCTCAGTGATGGATATGTTTTGGACATAGGAATTTAGAATGATTCATAGGGATTGATGCTATGAGATTTTGAGGAATCTATAGGGATCGGACTGGTGGCCGGATTACCCTCTGGTAAACCAACATAACGGAAAATCACCACTTTGAATTGGTAAATCAACGAACTAAACGATTATGTTCAATAGCTATGTTAAATTACCAGAGGGTATGTTTTATAAACCCCATTATTTCAATATACCAGGAAAACTGAGTGACATACGTGACATACGCGTGAAATTTGCAGCAGGCTGGCCATTGGTGGCCCACCTTGCAGGGATGATGGCGAACATCAATTCTCCCCATTTTGGTGAAGCTTTGATAGGCTTAAATCCCAATGTTTCTTGGACCACCGTTTTTGATTGGGCTCCAGGCTCCCTTCGCATGTGCAGGCAATTGGCGGACCAGCACCGCGGCCAAGCAGCTGACCACCCGCATCATGCATGCAGGTCATGGCCGCAAGATGAGCTGTGGATAGTCTACAGTTATGGCCCGAAATACCAGTTATTTTGTATTTATAACCCCATAAACATGGTTTATGCGATTGATCCCGTAGAAATAACCACTTGTAATCTATAGGGGGTTGGATTAATGGTAATGTAATATGTAGATAGTCCTTGTAATTGTTCAGATATTGCCTGATAGTTGGATGTAGTAATATGAAATGTAGTGATACACTGTGATATAATCCCCAGCTAGTGCTTACTGCAGATAGTTTGGGATTCAGGGGAGTGCATAAACTGTTAATGCAGTACTAGGTAATTGTTAAGATATTGCTATGACATACTATGACCATCACTAGCAATGGAGATCAAAAAAGAACACATAATACAATGCTGGGAACAAGATGGGGGTTTCCCAAAAATTGTGAATATTGGAAATACAATCCATTCCCGGTAATATTAATTAACCCCAAAACTTGCCCCAAAAAAATGAATAGATCATAATAAATCCAATCCTAAACCAGCGTTTGTTGTGGGGCAATTCATATTATAGGGAAAGGATATAATTTAATGGGATACATACCCTCGGGTAAAGTAACATAACTATGGAAAATCTCACTTTTTTTATGGATAAATCCACTATAAATGGCAATTTTCAATAGCTCTGTTAGTTTACCAGAGGGTACATGGCTAATATGGGCTAATGGTGAATGATATATTTGGGTAAATGAAACATAGCGACCTCACCTTGACATCACCATGACAAAGATAGCGAGCTGGAAAGCATCCCCTAAATGACCTGATTTTTTCATTGCATCCCCAAATAGAATATTCCATTGCTATTCCCATGATATTCCAACTGTATTCCATCATGATACCATATGATACCCATATATATTCCAACTATCTATATATATATATTTATTTATTTATTTATACGTTAGTGATGGTCATAGTAATGATGTCATATACCATATACCCATATATCACCATATATCATATACCCAAAAGATATTTCAACTGAAACTTCCCCCAGTTTCCCCGGTTGAACGTTCCCCGTGCCGTGACCAGGAGATCACTTCAACCCCGAAGCGGCACGGGCCGCCTCCCGGATCCTCTCCAGCGACTCCGACTCGTCCGACGCTGAGGAGGACCACTATTTCCCATGATTTCACCTATGATTTTCCTACGATTTTCCCTATGATTTCCCTATGATTTCCCTGAAAAACCATCATGGATGGCTCTACGTTTCCAGGACGAAAGCAGCTCGGGAGATGAAGGTTCCACCAAGGCGAGGAAGAAGGCTGAAATCCATCAGTTGTAGTAGTTCAATGGGGATTTTGATAGTATGTAATGATATAACCCATAGGATCCATGTATGATATATATGGTAACATTTACCATCAATATACCCCAAATGTTAGCATATATACCATACATGGATCCTATGGGTAATGGTATGTAATGATATAATGATAGTATTTTGATAGTATTTTGATACTGCTTCTGTTTAGTTTAATACGTTATAATGATATTATGGTATGTAAACATATTAAACATATTAGATATATGGGCAGAAATGATATAATGGTATGTAAAGATATGAATAAACGGCTGTAAGAGCTGCAATCCATACTGCTTCTGTTTAGTAACTAGTATGCTATAATGATACACCGGTATGTAAACATATTAAACATGTGGGCATATATAGATATATTATATGTGGTATATACATATGATCATGGTGTGTATATATATATGTGCGTGTGGGTGCGTATGTATATATAAAGTATCTTATTCTTATGATACAGCAGCTATTAATTGGTATTTTGGGGGCAATCAATACACCATGGTTTGAAACCAACAGAATGATGATAAAACCAATCAGATGATTCAAATATCACAGGGAAATGATATCGGATATTGGGATATATCTGCAACGCGACGGGGGATATGATGGGGATATGAACCAATCACAATGGGAAATACAGCTGGTGTGAATATGACTATCTTTGAGTATAGGTCTTCCCAAAAACGGTACCTTGGCCAAGAAGCCCCAAAAAGCGCTTTGAAGGGACATTGGTGGATTTAATAGTCATGTGGGAACCCCAAAATTCACGTACCATTTGAGAATGATATTTCCCACCCATCTGTACATATCTATACTAATACTGGGGATGGTTTATAGTTGGGAATACTGCATTAGTCATGTAACAGTTCAATGAAACGTGATTATCAGTCATGTAACACTTAAATATACCATATCTATACTAATACTGGAGCTAGCAACTGATTGTTCCAATATTCAGGGTATAAAACGTGACTAGTTGCTAGCTCCATCAACATCGCGCTATGAAATCGAACCATTTGATGCTGGCCTGCAGGTCTCAACGGCATGCGACAGATCTTTTAGTGTTCCAACTACCCGGTAAACTAACAGTTTGCGAACTGGAAAGTGGACCATTTATTTATTTCGTTGATTTACCTATTAATAGCATGGTGATGTTCCATAGTTATGTTAGTTTTACCAGAGGGTTTAGCAGGATGGGCCAAGTGTAACCCTTCATGTTTAAACCTGGCTGGTGGTTTGGAACATTTGGCTTATTTTTCCATATATTGGGAATAGTAACCCCAACTGACGAATTCATATTTTTCAGAGGGGTAGGTATACCACCAACCAGTATAATACAGAACCGACAAGATCAATCACACTGAGGGATTCTTGGACATGGAAATGCCTTTCGTTTCGACAGGGACCAACATGCCGAATACTATTGTCCAATTCTGGATATCCTTTACCACGGTGATCAAGGGACAGACTCGAGTGTTTGTGGACCCCGACTTCAACAGGTTGGCCAGCATCATTTGTGAGGCTCACCGATGCATCAAAGCTGGTGGTTCCTTGGATCATTTGTGCATTGAAACGAGAAGTTTTGGCGCGGCAGGTGGCGATCCCCATTGGAGGCAAGGGTACCCTCTGGTAAACTAACAGTTTGCTATGGACAATGGCCATTTATTTCGTGGATTTACCTATCAAAAATGGTGATTTTCCATAGTTATGTTAGTTTACCAGAGGGTACATTGAGAAGCAGCGAAGCAGCAAAAGATCTTCTTGCATGGCTCCATGGATGAAAGACATGTTTGGACGTTCGCCAAGAAAACAACCCAAGTTTTCTCGGGTAGCAGTGACCCGTAGCTATGGTTGCAAGGTAGTGCCCCCAATTTATAAGTTGGTTTACAACCCTGTGCAGATTTATGTGCCATAAACTTTTATAACATGTTATAACCCCTAGTTAACCGCTTACAAGCCAACTTAGCTGACGAACTGGGACACCACATTGTACAGATAAGTACAGATTGGGGATGAACAAAGAAGATTCAATTCATACTTAGCAAATTGCACGCCTGGTGATACATTGGGGATTGTGTATGGTAGGTGCCTGCAATTCCGGATTATCATACCTTTAATGGGATAAACCGTGCGAAGAGAGTACCGCCTGCAAATATGTGTGCCAGAAAACAAAAGATAGCCATGAAATTGCAATATTTTAGTTCTTGTGGAAAAATAATTAAAGCTGTCTCCCTAGTACTCTAAAACCAACCCTAGGAACGATTAAAACACAAGATCTTCCAAAGTGTTCCCCACCTTTTTTCCAAGGGTGTTTCCGGGGTTTTCTCACCATTTCTAGATGGGGGTTTCCTGAACTGGGCATATCCCAAAATGGATGGTTTATTTCATGGAAAATCCGACAATCAAATGGATGAGATTAGTTATGGGTACCCCCATAACTCAGGAAACCCCCGATAAAAATCCAATGAGAACTCATGAGAAGCTATGTTTTTTGCGGGTTCACCCAGTGTCATTGGTCACCCTTCTGTTCAACGCAGGTCTTTGGGCAACCGAGGACTGGAAATTTGGTATCGGTGACAGGAAAAATTGGGATTGAACCATCAATTTTATATTTGATGGGATTTAACCTTCTGGTAAACTAACATAACTATAGAAAATCACTAGTTTGAGTAGGCAAATCAACTACAAACAATAATAAACCACCCACTTGGGAATGGTAAAGATACCACCTGTTTAATATAGAGTTAGCTATATAGTCATTATATGGTTATTAAAGAGATGTGGCTCATGGTTATTAAAACATTGCCATCATTGAAAGATGGTAATGTGGATAAAGCAACGTCATAAACCATCCATGACTGGGAATGGTAAAGATACCACCTATAAAAATGGTGATGACTGGGGGATGGTTTCTTATTGTTTACCCACATTAATGGGATTTAACCAACAGAAATTGTGATTTGCTGGGCATTCCAAAATGAGGGAACAAACATGTGATTTTAGTCATGTGGGAAACCCAAGAACATAACCTAGCATTCCGGGATGGTTTATAGCACCCATTTATGTTTATAGTGAATTTGGAGATGGTTGTTGCTTATTGGGTTTACCACATTAATGAAAAATTGTCATTTTAATGAAAATAGTGATTTAACCAATGAACAACTGGGAATGTGTGTGTGATTTATCCTTTATTGATATTTTATGTTAGCCAAGTTGGTTTACAAGTGGATTCCCCGTTGGATTTATGTTTAGGAAAGGGTTCCAGGGGATCGAAGACAATCAGATACCATCCTAGTCTTAACCATAAACCATGCCAATTAGAGATCACTGTTTTTCTTTGGCACTTTCTTTTTGGAAGGGTGAGAACCCTAAAAGAGGTAAAGATCCCAAAGAAGGGGTACGGTAAGATCCAAAAGGGTGCCTTTTTTTTCAGAAAAAAATGGGTCCATGTGTTTTTTTTCGGTGTCAGTTGCGGCGGTTTTTTAATCGGTCCTGGTCCTGGTCGCCCACAACCATGGTGAAGCTGAAGAAGGTGGTGGGCTCCACTGAGTCCCATTGCCGGGAGTCACAACTTGCCGAACGGTACCCTCTGGTTATGACTGACATAGCTATTGAAAATGACCTTTAATAGTGGATTTTCCCATTAAAAATGGTGATTTTCCATAGCTATGTTAAATTACCAGAGGGTAGTAGTGGACTTCTCCTGATACGGAATTGTGTTCGGTGAATGATTGTGATTCAGCTGGTATCTGGATGGCAACGACACACATCATATCATATCATCATTGAAGTAACAATCAGCAAAGATTACACCAACCTAAAAGGCAATTTGAGCAATAACACATGGATGTTTTACATGTTCTCAATCGTTGATAGACTTCAAAAGACCGAACATGATCAACCAAATTCTTAAACAAAATGAACCAGCATTGACAAAAATCATGGCGGGGCCTTAAATCAGGTTTGGATTGGTTGTGATTTCGCCACATAGTATGGGATTATGTGCAATTAAATCAAACCAAATGATTTGTTCAGCAGATCAAGTTACAGGTTCTGGGGTCCACAGGCATGATAATATGATGTTCCGAATTCTTGGAGCGAGTCAAAATGATTATTGTTGTTTCATGAAGCAGAAGGTGGAACGCATCAATGAACTTGATATTGGCTATGTTGGTTTTCATTACACCAAATGCATGTTTTTGCTGCACTGAACCGCTGGGCAATACCAGTAATTCAACATGGCAGCTGAAAACCCAGCATTTTTAGAAGAAAAAATCCTATGATTTTCATTAAGTCTTTATCGTTTTTTCCCATTAAACCATATTGAAACCAGATTAAACTATATTAAACAATATTGCCCTCTGGTAAATTAACATAAAACAACTTCACATTTTCGATGCTAGTGGAAACTCGTCCCAACCACCATCTGGGGCCATTTGATTCCCATAAACTAACATGTGGATGGGCCGTTGCGAAATCCTCCACCACCAATTTTGGATGGTTAAACCATGTTAAACCCCAATAATGGGATGTTTACCTCCTATCAACTGCAGGATTTCGCTGGCCCATCCACAGTAGCTATGGAAAATCACCATCTTTAGTAGGTCAATCAACTATGTCTATGGGCCATTTTCAAAAGCTATGTAACAAATTAGCACCAGTTCTATTTGGTTAAATTTCACATCTAAAATTCCAACTCTTAAAGTCTTTCCTGGGCAAATCCCAAAATGTTCAGACGCTAAGATCGCCATGTTCCTAGGGTTACCTATGGTCTTCCTATGGTTTTCCCATTCAAACACAATTTTCCTATTGTTTTCCAACAAGTTCATCGGGTAAATCCCATGGTTTTCCTATGGTTTTCCCATGGTACTTCCGCGCAGGAAAAAGCGGAACTGTTTTCAAGCACAGTGGGCTTTGATCCGACGCGATGGGCGGCGCATCTGGCGCGTCCCTGGACTCATTTGGTGGGGATGGAGGGTTGGGGCTGCGATCTACCTCTGTTGGTTGATGATTGGTTCCGGGATAACAAACTTCCCTTTATATATTGGGGCTTACAAGAATCCAAGAACAGGAATCCCAACCAACCAGTTTCATGACATGATAGAAAATCTGATGGCTGTGGATTTTGAACACTGCCATTAACTATAGTATACTATAGTTATATCTACCATAAATCTTCGTTATTCTAGTTATGTTCACCAACTTCGCGATTCCGAACTGGGGCACCACCGTTGTGGGAAGCCACGATTTTCATGGTGGTTTTCATGGGGATTTCAAGGAGTCATCGTGAAAAATTTAGGGTGAAAAAATGGGTGTTATTGGGATCCCTCTACTCACCCATTTATTGGGATTTATAATGGAACACCCATTTATTGGGATTTATAATGGGACATCCAATTTATTGGGATTTATAACGGGTTTTTAATTGCTGTGATGGTGAGTATCATGCCCTTTCTTAGGAAAGAACTGATTCTGGAACCAAGGACCGCGATATGGTAAACTACCAACTTGCGATAACTTGAGAGGTGAAGTTATACCATGATTTAAATGTGTTCTTGGTTTTACACCAGCTAGAAGCAGTTCCCAAATGGATGACCAAAAGTGGACTCCGGGACTCCGGGACTCTGCAATCCCAAACACAATGGCTATATAATGGGATTGGTGATATATTTATATAAGCTAATTAAGTGAATAATAATGATAATGATAATCAAAGTGATTACTTTGTAATCTCACATGAATCCAAGCTCTCCTACTTTTGATTTGGATATGGATGGAGCTAGATTCTCAAATCAATAGCTCTTGTATGACATGTTCCCAAACCATGTAAAGCAGTATAACCAACTACAATGAACAATAGCGCTCGTATTCAGAACGCCTTTGTGAACTCCAATATTGGTCACTTCGGAATTTTAAATAATCCACGCATGGTCAGGAAATGATCAGATGCAGCTAGGTCCAGATTTGAGGTGCTTCCAATAGAACTCATTGCGTTCATGAGGATCTGAAAAACACATATCATCATACCATGATGATTACATAATTTTACATCAAATTAAATTGACAATTTACTGACATACCATTCATGATGCTATTTCAACTCTCATGACGATAAAACATCGTCGCTGTAAAGGATAAGAGTTTGGTGCTCTCCGCCAACATTCAGAAGCCTGGCATCAGCAGGTCTGCCGTGGTTGTGTCGTTCACAATATGCGTGTTGCCTTTTTTGGGGGCGCTGGCATTAGAGAATGTAATGACCACCATAGACCATAGATGTCCTTTCCCCATTGGTCGGTTAATTAATAGAGGGGTTTGAACAAACCCCTTTAACAACAGGTAAATGATGATAGATGGTATACCTGACCGCCACCTATGTTTACCAAAAGCACAAAAAAATGATTCATCATAACATTTTTGATAGACATAATTAGCATGTTTTTACCATTATCAATATGATTCATGAGATAAGTTTCGCAGTGATGCCAAAGGGGATTAATCACAAATGCAAAAAAAGGGTCGTTACTCCAAGCCATTGATAGCTACAAGGGGAGTAAATTAGTCATATTTACTTCAACTGCTTGGTGGTTTGGAACATTTGGTTTATTTTTCCATTTCATATATGGGATGTCATCCCAACCCCATTGACGAACTCATATTTTTCAAGATGGGCACATTGCACCACCAACCAGTTGGAGCAACAGCCACGGGATGATCATCAGCTAAATGACTGACCAGGCTGGGTAAAAATTCATATGGATGATCCCAATTTTTTCGGTGCTTCATATATATATGCATATATATAATTAATATGGTGATAAACATCTATTTTCCATGCATGTGTTTGTAAAGTGTTGTTCCACTTGAGGAATGCTCTGTTTAATTGCTGAGAGTCCGCTGGGATGATCTTATGATTGTTTCCACTACAATTCTCCTCTGCTAATTCAAGAATATGGAAAATCATATGGAAAATCATATGGAAAATCATGGGTTTCTGATTTCTAGAAAATGATCAAGAATGTGTTCTTTAGATAATTTCTGAATTTCGCCCATGGATTTTCCATAGCTACGAAAAGGTTTCCATAGCTCTTCCATAGCTCGCCTCCCGGGTGATCCTCGAAAGAAAATTTGCCATGGATCCTGTGGTTGGTTGTTAGAAAAACTCCTCACAGTTATAGCCCTTTAAAAAAAAAAAAAACTTAGTTGTAACTGGTGAACATCTTCCGGAATGAGAATATGTTCTCCGGAGTTGCATCTGATGGCCAGAACTCAAGTGCCCTCTGCCAAGGAATCTCTTGGTTTCCTTGATCTACGGCTGGCTGTTCTTCGGTGCTGGCCATCAGGAACTGATCCGTTACGGAATCAATGAAACAACGGAAGGATGCTTATGGTTGGAGAGAACCATATATTACACCCCGCTAAAAATTTGGTGAATTCATGTTAAATTCCATTTATGTCCCTTGGCAACGTGATTTGGCAGTACATGTCTCAGATGAGACAGATTTCCGTTTCTAGCCTATTGGATGCCCTGAAATGCTCGACTTGTTTTTTTTGTTGGATTGCTATGTCAACCTTGGATGGGTGAGTAACCAAAATGTTGGCTATGTTAGATTGGCCATTTGTGAAGTCCCATGATCGTCGGAAAATGCTGGATCATAGAGAAACAGTTTAAACAGACCTGAAATTTAGTCTTTCAATCCTGCAACATATTGAAACAGACCTGATTTTTTAGTCGCAAAATCCTGGAAGATATTAAAACCGACATGTCCACGACGTCCAGATGGATTCGCCACACAATCCAGGAGAGTCGCGACATCGGATTTTCATCGTCCTTCCTTGCTTTGCCGGTAGGACTCGGCGGCAGAGCATGCCACGTGCAGGGTGACCTCAATGGGGGGCTGGAATTCTCTCAATGATTCGCACGTGTTTACACCAAGTACGTCTTTGTAGATGATATATATATATATACAGTTTTTGGATTTACAATGATTTACCCATATGAATTATCCGTGAATAAAGATGGCGAGTATTGTAATATAGGGAAAATCCCAAAAAGGATGGTCATACAAGTCTTATTAAAGATCTGGTCCGGAAAGGTTGCGCATCCTTCCACTGGAGGACGTACAGTGGAAACAAATGGAACGTCCGCCATTTTGGAGGCCATACAGTCATGGCCGTTTACCAATTAAAATGGTTATAATTGGTTATAAAGGGATTATACATTCCATAAATGGGGTTATGAGTACAATAATAAATGGTATTTCGGGCCATAACTGTAGTTTCTTTGAGATCATATTTTCTGGTTTCTTTTAATCCTTCAATTCTCCCTGGTTGAAGCAGAAAGAACTGCCAGGAATCATAGATTTCCCAATAAACCAATCCATAAATCCCACACCAAAAAATACTCAATATCAACAAAAAGCTCCCCATTGTTTTTATTACACATTCCACCAGGCTTTCGCTGGTCACGGCAAAATTCATCCAGCGGAGGAGAAGAGCCATGCTTGGATCAGACCTTGTTCGACTATCCGATGGCTCGGGACCAATGTCTTCGCATGTTTCAGGCGCGCCATTGCCATCGCCGCCGTGACGTGAGATGAACTGGCCGAAGGGTGGCTTCGTAATCATGGGGGTTGAACCAAAAACAACCACCCAACAGGCATATGATACAAACATATCATATACATATTAAATTATACATCATTTACACATATATATTTATATATCATATCCATATAAACGTACACAAATATATAAGAGCAATTCAATCATGCTGCTGAGCCGCTTCCCAAAAGTTGCCCAGCTCTTCCACAATGCCTTGATGCAAAGGGCACCACCATGTTCCCACGGGCAGTGCCGTTTGCCAGTTATATATGCTGAAATAACTGGTTTCTATGGGATCAATCACATAATCCATGGAATATATGGGGATTAGTTCAGTAATTATGAGTCAATAATTATAAGTACAAAAATCACTGGTATTTCGGGCCACCACTGCATCTGTTTCCACCATGAATCTGTTGGTTTCCCGTTTTCCCCATGTTCTTAGCCCATAACTCGTCTGGACTTTCAAGCACAGTGAGTTCACCACTAACCAGAGGAAAATAAGATGGTCTAGTTCTATTAATACAACCAGTTGGAAATTCTTCTTTCCATATATGTTCCATAATAGTTGTATAGTCAGTTATAGTTCTATGATATGTGTGTTTTAATGAATCGATGTATTACAATTCGTATGTGTGGATGCTATTTTGTATACCATATATATAAGATAAAGTAATATTGACATGTCACCCACAAGTCCAACAGTGTATTTATGTTCATCAACTTAGCTATCGAACGGAGGTACATTTTACTCCAAATAGATTTAATATGTGAAAAATGGCAGATGGATCTTGCGGAAGTCAGGTGCATTGGGGTGCCCTGAGTATCGTGGCCATCAATGCTATGATGGGAAGCTCGTTCGAGCATGTTCGCGCCAAGGGTGGAGATGTTAGCAACCAATGCTGGTTTAAGATGGCTATTTCATGGAGATATCACCATCAAACATGAGGGTTTTTGTTAGACAAAAAATTGAGATTGAAGGGTTATTTCATTGGATTGGTGTAAGGGACAAATTGCAGGAAAGCCTTATATTTTATGGTAAAAAAAAAACTTGTTGCTTTTTTCTGTAGATTTTCCCTTAGACCAATCGATTAATATATGGGGATACTGAGGTTTATTGGTTTATTTGATGGGGATATCATATATATATAATATATAATATATATATAATATATATATAATATATATATATTTGATGGTTTAAGTGATTGGCTGAACCCTTCCAGGAAACCCATTTCGGAGACCCATTTCGGAGTCATCGGTTGTGTCATTCGGGGTTTGAATCTCCATGGTACGTTGTAAAGGAAAGCTTCTTATTCGGTTAACCCAAACGCTTTGGGTTCAATAGCAACAACCATATGATATCTGATGATCATATGTACCGTGTAACAGTCTCCAAAACATTGGAATTTTATAGAAATCCGTTTCTAAACTGGACATGTTGATTAGCCGTTTCTATCTTTTTGGTGTTTTTTACTGCAAGATTTAGAAAAGAAACAAACAAAATCTGGACAAACAACCAACAAATTCAACAAACATTCAGTTTTTGAATGGGGTGTTCGCTAAGCTGGGAATTTACATCCAGGTTTCCAACCAATATTTACGGGAGATCCAGGCAGCTGTGGTGCTGAGTTGTCGATTTGTCCCCAGTGTTTTGGAGAAAAATGACTCCATAGAACCGGTGCCAAAATGAGGTTTGCAGATGTGTTCAGTGGCAAAAGGTACCCTAATTACGGTGGATGGTTGCGAAATCCGATCAACCACCAATTTTGGATGGTTCAACCCCTATAAATGGGATGTTTACCACCCTAAAGGTTCAGAGAAACTGAACGAATTTCAATGACTTTTTAAGATCCATCAGATTCATCGCAATGTTTTATCTGTCGCGCCGTTCCCGTGATTGCTGGTGAATTATTGGCCTGATATGATCCGGAAAAATCCACATGGCTTATCAAAGTCAACCAAGGTTTGACTGAAATATACTGAAGTTCCAAGTGAAATTGGCCATGTAATAAGGTAATGATCCGTGATTTTTTGGACACAACAGATTGTGTGGCTGCTACAATCTTTTTTGTGGTTGGGCTATGTTTCAGCATTTAATTCTTGATGTCACTTTTTCAACCAATGTTTACATCACCATGTAAAGTATGATTACCATCTGTAAAATTTGTTACATAGCCATGGAAAATCACCATTTTTAAGTTTGGTAAACCATCTGTTTCAATTAGGGCCATTTCCCATGGCGAACTGTTAAATAACCAGGCCGGGTATATATGTTCCTATCTTTCACCAGTGATTTCTCAGCATATTTTCATGGCTGGTGTCCCAATTTTTCGCTCGTTATCACGAGGATCCATCACGTGGGCCATCACGGTTTTTCAGAACGAACGCTCCTGTAGGGATCTCAGAACGGCTTTTCAAAGCAACGCTGGGCGCAACTCATGGGAAAAAATCATGGGAATACTGTGGGATAGTCCCATGAATTTCCATTAATGATTGCTTATTTTTAAGGAAATTCTAATGGGAATATTTCATGGGAATGCTAATGCGAATGGGAATCTAGCGATATGAATGGAGCTACAAGGTGGTAATATGGGGTCCCAATGAAGAATGTGGTAAACCGTAAACCCAATGCCTTAGGTATATCCCCCGTAAGCCATAGCTAGGTGAACTAGATCATCTTAGCTAGGGAGCCTCACCTTGTATCATCTGAACTACATAGAACTAGATAGAAACTCAAAAGTCTAGTGGTTGACACTGCTATAGTGGTTGTAAGGATCTCGGTCGATTGTACCGAAGTATGGTATGATAATATGGGAATATAATGTAAGATGCAGTTCTTTTTTTGTTGCGATAGTGGGACCATCCCTATCAAAAGGGGCCTGTCTTTGGTCACCTCCTGGAACTCCATTGGAATGCTTCGCATTTGAGGCTTTCTTCGAGAATCCTCCAGTGGATACTACAACAACTTCTCCTACTTCCTTTCCAAGACCATTTTCGAATTTCCCGCCACCTGGGCAGGATTTGTGCATAGGAGTCAACTTGCAGTGAGAGGGGAAATTTCAGGTTTCTTCGGGTTCATGACGAGCTAGATGAGGGAAGAAATATGTAGACCCTTATCATATCCACTGGCGAATAATTTGGTGAATGATGGTGAATGATGGTGAATGTGACACAATGTGAACTTCTTTCACATGCTCCTTTCACCTGAGAATCATGACAGGCATCATCCATATTTGCCATGGTGTTTTCACATCATCCAGGAGCTTTCAAGGCAATAATTCAATTGGCTGCTTCCACTTCAACTCCATTGTTTGGTTTGTGTCATGGTTTTCTTTTCAGTTTCCTTTACTGAAAACTGTTCAAGCCATTAAGAAAGGCACCCAATTGTTTTCGCTTCAGCAATCCAGCAATGGGATATCAGTTGTGTTTTGTTAATGGGATATATACGATATATATACCCTCTGGTAATTTAACGGTTTGCTATTGAAAGTGGCCATAGACATAGTTGATTTAACTATTAAAGATGGTGATTGTCCATATTTTTTGTATGTTTACCAGAGGGTATATTTATGGAATATCAATGATCACTAAATCTTGAGTAAATGTGGATGATTTCGCCGTCGCATATCATGGGATCTGGTTTCCATCAATCACTAACCAATCACTAAATGAAATTTCTGATAAAAAAAATCAGATGTGCTTGGAATTTCCCCCAAAAAAAATCCATGATGTTTCACAACAAATTCCCGAGGTGATGTTTTTGTCCATCGTTGTGAGCATCCTCTCCGTTTATTGGCTGATGGGTTTGCTGGCCAATCCTCTCGTCCTGATTTGTGCGCCTCGGACGGGCGCGCAAGCGCATGCTTGCACCACGCGGGGGCAGGGTGCTGAAGGGATGATTCAGCCAATTATATATATATACATGATATATAATTATATATTACAAATGGTATATATGGTGTATATATTATATATATATATACATGTATAATGGTATGTATAAATGGCATTATAACCAATCAATGGGGATATACTTGGGACAAATTGGGATATAATATAATGTGGGATTCACGCAATAAAACATCGCATATACTCCTGAAATGGTCCTCTTTCCAGTGACCAAAAGGCACCAGGATTTCTAGGTATTTTTCTGGGATACATCTTGGGGCAATAGCAAACAACCACAGGTGTGCAGGGCAAGGGGATATTGTTACAAGTTTGAATGAATACCTAAAGAATGAGCGCAATTCAAAGATCTAAATTCTATTTTTGAATTTGAATATGTATGGATAAGGATGCAGAATCCCTCATAGTGGGCATATATATATATACATATATGTATATATATATATATATGTATATGTATATATATATGTATATATATATGTGTATATATATATATGTATATATATATATGTATATATATATATATCACTTACCGGGCACTGGCCGATTCCATCAAGAGAATAACCAGTGCCACAAGCAATATCCCTTCTTGTTTTCTTCGCTGGAAGTCAGTAACATGGCAATTAATCATCAAAGATGGTAATAAGATGTAATAACCATGAATCAATGCACTTGGAACCCAAATAATCTGCAAGAATCAGATTTTGACGTTCCAAAATTCAGTAATGAACTCAATTTGAGGTACATTTCTAATAGTTAACTGTGGTTCACAGTATAATCATTGTAAAGTACAATGACTGGATTCGGTATATCCTGGGCTAAACATAGAAATGGAACCAGAATTGTGGAGGGTGTCTCTATGAAATGATCGACGAATCAACAGGATGTTCCATGGTTAGTTTGAATTGCTGCAGAGTAGTCCCATCCCAATGTTAAATATGTTAAAGTACAGGATGGGACTACTGTTGAAGCAGAAATCCTAATTTTAATTTCAATCTAATTTTGGTATCTAGTACCATCTAAACAAACCCTACTGTTGAAGTACAGGATTGGATTTCTAAAAATTAAACGGACCATTAATGGATGTTATTTAATAAAAAATACTGCCCAAAAAATCTACATCCCAATTTCATCCAATTTCAGGATGGTTTACTTAAACCCATATAAACCCCAATTAAACCCATATAAACCCATATATAAACTCATTTTCACCCGTCTAAAGCCCCATTTTTTGCTGGTCAGATCAGCATGACCACAAGAAGTCCTCTACTCAGGAGGTGCTCCTGCTCTCCGTGGCGTCATCGTCCATCGTCTTCTGCTTGAGTGCTCAGGCGGGTTTTCCTTGCTGGGAATCATGGTTAATAAGGGGAATCATCCCCAAATGGCCGAACTATTCAGGTTAGTGAAATATGATCATTTACCCTACAGTCATGGCCCTAGAAACTTGTTATAAGTCAGTGAAAGAATCCATGAAAATGGAAGGATAACATTTATAGCATTTAACCATAGAAATCACTGGTAAGGAGCTTTGACTGCAGGGTAAACTATGGATTTGCTGAAGATTATTTTGTCCACTGGGGAGCCGGTTAAGGGAATAGTTTTTTTTGTTGGGGGTCCTTAAGCAAATCCAAGTAACATATGTGGAAAACCATTGGTTTCCCTAGGACAATAATCTACACATGGACAAATGGTAGGTCTTATCGGTTTTCCAAATCCATGTTGGTTTACAGGAGGATAAGTGTTAACCAAACAAGACATAAACAATCATAGGATCTGCTTTTCTTGCACCAACATACATGAAAGGACACACCATACATGATTCATGATGGGAGAGTGGTGTAAACCACACAACATATAGTTTCCATGAAATATAAGGACAGTTCAAGCAACAAACAGTTTCGCGTTTTAAGCCAGATACAGCGAGACAATAAGACACATGGAATGTCAACTTTCAACTCCTCATTCAAGTGTTTACCCAGCTCACAATCAACATATCATTGACTCAAGGGGTTACAATAACGACCAACTACCATTAAGGACAGATATTAATCATTTACCCTTCGCGAATCAAGGATGGCTCGCTGGAAAGTCCGTCATCAAGCCGATACTCTTATTCAAACCTCCATTTATGGTGGAGGTTCCCTTTTTTCCCCACAAAAATCCTACAGTTTTGGCCGTTTACCAATTATAGATGGTTATAACTGGTTATAAATGGGATCATACATTCCATAAATTGGGTTATAAATACTTATAACTGGTAGATGGCCATGATTGTATGATTTTGCCAACTAGAAACCCAGCCTTTCCCAGTTGCAAGGCATCCACTTCAGAACAAGCCTATGCCTTGGCTCCCATTGCGCAGATCCCGCAGTTTGCCTTCGCAGGCCTGGCCTTTGATAAGACGGCCAGTGAGGTGTTTCGATTTGATGTGTCATGGCAAAAATAGATGCAAAATTGAAAGCCAAATATGTATATAATATATAGATATACAATATATATATATATAGATAGATAGATAGATAGATAGATATATACAATATATATATATGGAGGTGTTTAATAGGAATACCAGTAGTACCGCACAAGGCGGTGGCGGAAGTCCTATCGGAGAGGTTGGCTGCTGTGAATCACGGATGAGGCTCTAAGTCTCCTCTCTTTCTCTCTCTTTTTCTCACCATCCATTTACCTACCCAGCTACCTATCTATCTATCTATCGATCTATCTATCTATCTACCTATCTATCTATCTATACCTATCTATATCTATCTATATCTATCTATATCTATCTAT